GATACATTTTTTACAGAGATAACTCTGTATTTGATACTTTGTCCAATATCTTGTCTCTTGATTTGATATTTTGTCCAAAATAGTCACCAGCAGAGTTGAAATAAAGATTTATTTAATTTATCTTTTGTAAAAATGCTTTTTTTAACGTCGTAAGAATCAGGGTGATGGCTTGTTGTACATTTTTTCCTCTACTTTCAAATATTGTTGTTAAGAAATCCTTAACTTTACTTGTTTTTGAGATATCGGTGGTGGACCTTTTTACCCGCAAATATTTAAGCCCCGCTCTATCTTATATATATATATATATATATATATATATATATATATATTTGTTACATACTCATGAGGACTATTAAAAAACTTTTCAATTATGACCCCCCCTGACGCCGAAGCTGGATCCGCCACTGGTTACTACATATGTCAACATCAATTCAGAATCACAAAATATATATATATATATATATATATATATATATATATGCCCCAATTTTCAAAAATTCAAGATTTTTTGATGAACTATTGCTTTAAAACCGGTTGACTTTGAGAGTACCTTTTTTAAGAAAAATTTACTCTGTTGGCAAATTTTATCCTGTTTATATACGACGCAGTTCTGCGTTTCAGAAATCTTTGCACGGGTCATTTATGGAGAAAAATGCCATGAAACGACAGAAATTATAAGATTGTAATTTTCATGCAGTAAACTTTCTAGATCGGAGATTTAGTCTGTTTTTATGAGTTTTTCTTCATTTTTTGCAGTTGGACCCCAAATTTTAGCTTTAGTTCAGCGGTAAAAAATATATTTTGGAAATAACATATGTTCTACACCTAATACAGACAACTTTTTTTATTTTGTGGATTTATGTTATATAACAAGTGTTTGAAATAAATAATTAGAAAATAGGAGCATTTGAGTTGCAAGTTTGAGTATATAACTCGAAATTCAATTAATTGTGTTATTTTCCCCAGGTTTCTTTTAAAGAGAAGTAAAGGCAGACTTCCGTTTCGTATTAAAGTGCAGTGGAAAAAACGAAACCTGTTCGACACCGATCTTCATCTTCTAATTCGAGATCAGATTCCGACATGGAAGCGATTCTATAGAGTCGATAGAATATACATCACACAGCCCAAAGGAAACGTTCGAGATCGACTGAACGCGTTGCCTTACGGATTTTCTGTGGATAATGATAAGTTGCGGAACTAACAACTAATCTGACATTGAAATTTGGTATGATTCATTATATATATTATAAAATATATAAGACTTTTGTAAAGACATTTCACGTGGCTTTCTGTGATTAAAAGTGTTGTAGTAAATTATGTGCATACGTTTTCATTATTCAAATAAAATAGTTTTTAATATATAATTGAAATAAATTTTAAATATGATTTAAATTAATATTTATTGCCAAGAACTTTTTAATATGCTGCATATTATATAATTGAAGTTTAGGGATGAAGAAAGCGTTAATAAATAAATTACAATAAATGCAAAGTCAGGGAGATGTTTTTAATACAAAATCGGTGTTCAAATCAAGAATTTCAAAAAATTATTTAGTAATTCTTTTATTTTATAGACCGGGGTTCAATCAAGTTTGAAAACTATCTATTATCGAACACCATAGTAAGACATTCAACAAAGATTTAATCTGCAGATAAATGAAATTTTCATAAAATGTAGCAATTTATTTTTCAACATAATCTTATTAAAGTTTGGAACATTTGGCTCAGCGCTTGAACCTGTATAAAAAATAATATTTTTCAAGAGATGCAAAATAAGTCAAAAATTTACGATTAGGCTGAGTAGTGGTTGGATGACCGTTGAGTATTATTTTTAACTCCCCGGACTCATAATTTAGCCATAAAGTTGCCCCCATATTCAAGATCACTTTTAAACTATTATTTGTTCGTTCATGAAAAAGTAGAAAATATTTTTTTATGTTTTTGGACTACTTTTAATCAGCTTTATTCGAAAACCAAACATTTTTTACTTACAACTTATTTTTTAATTTTTCTTACGAGTCTTTTGCATAATTGTACCAAAATACGAATACAACAGATAAAATAAACTAGTGGGCGCATGGCAAAATGCTGAAACTTTCCGTACCAAAAATTATTTTTTTTTAAAAATTATTTTTGAAAAAAATTTACTCTGAAAAAATTAGATTTTTGAAAAACTATAAATTTTTGACAAAAATTTACTTTTTTTTAAAAAAAAAAAATTTTGAAGAACATTTATTTGAAATATTTTGGAAATCTGAACATTTTTTCAAAGCAATAATACTGCTTTAACTGCATACAGACGATATATAGAAGCGCATAAGTGTCGCGTCGCCGTCTAACGAATAATATTGGTATCGGAACCCATAGGAATGTAAACAAAATCTCTACATGTAAGATTTTTTCAATATACATTTTCATGAAAACATGTAAAATAGAAGTAATAAAAAAACTTTGCCACCTTTTTCAACCGGCTTTCTCCGGTAAACATGCGGTGACGCGTCGACCTTACGGCTTAAGCAAGTTTTAGCAGAGCATACCGACATTGACCTGATTATGATTAAATGCATATACTAAATATCACATTATTCAATATTGAAATATCTATAATACCTACTACTTTTGTTTCTAAGGTATATTTAATGAAGTAATCTCAAGTCATCGAATAATGTCGAAAATTAAATCATAACGCTTTTAATTAAAACATTTAGTAATTTCTTTTAATTTTGTAATATTAGACAAAAAATATTCCCATATCGTTAATAGATCGTATAAAAATACGAAAAAATAAGTTAAAAAATTAAATTGACAATTAAAAAAAAAAACAAATTGATATGATAAATAACATGCTTTTATATTATTAATAATATATAATTGAGACCACTTGTAATATTTTATGATAAAATTTATATTAACTAAATATTAATTAAGTATTGTATTTGATCAAGTATCTAAACGTTTAAAAGGGCACGTTCATATATAGATCACAATGATGTCTTTATAGCAATTAATTATGTTTGTAACATATTACTTGTTCGAATCTCTAAATTTTTTAAACTTTAATTAACTTATAAAATTATTTTTAGTATTGCAGAAACTTTTCACCGTTTCAAAACTACTTTTTTCACAACTAGTTTTAAATTCAATGCAAAGAATTTCTTTTGAATAAGTAGAGTGATCATACGTCCCGGTTTGGCCGGGACAGTCCCGGATTTGCACCTTGTGTCTCGGGATTTTTAACTAGCAATATTTGTCATGGATTTAGATTTTTCGTACCGGTTTTTTTGAAAATTTATAGGTAAAATACCTGAAATTTTGAAAACATGCAAATATGTGCTATGTTTGCTAAATTAATTCCGAAGAAAGTGAATTAGAATTTTATACAAGGCTCAAAACAAAAAATTTAAGGTCGAAAAATATAAGATATAACATAACATCGTACATAAAAAACATAGCTCTTACTAAAAGACCTCAATAATGATTTAAAAAATGATTCATAAAAAAACTGTTTCTTTCTTTAATAGTATTTTGTAATGACATTTGTTATTTCAAACAGTTTTCCCACTCCCGTCCCGGATTCTCATAACTATAAATTGCCGTCCCGGTTTTGACTTAAAAAAAATATGGTCACCTTTGGATAAGGGTTTCCATATATCGCACTAAATTGTAATTTAACCTCATAACTTTTCATTTGCATTGCATTTTTTATTAAATATTACTATAAATTTATTATATATAGTTGCATTATAGTTTGCGGCTTAAAAGAAATGTGAAAATCGTAAATTAGAAACCTGCGACAGCGTCTAATCGAACTTTATATAAAATTATAAATATTGAAAAATATTCACCGCATTAATATAAGGTTGTCAAATATCTCCTTTCCGGCATTTTGTATTATAAACCAGGAGCAAAAAAGCGGCAGGGAGATATTTGACAACCTAATATTATGATTTTTATAAAGAAGTTCTACATTCAATGAAGAACACAGTTTTGGCCAGCGAGAGGCTTTCATTCTTCAAGTGGGGCTTAAAAAGGGGAAGAATATAGTAAAATACTTTGAGTATTCATTTTTACCTAAATTTTAAAAAAAGCTGAAGTTTTTCAAAATTTTTACAAAATTTAACGTTTTTTCCAGATATAAAATGCACGTGATGTTGATTGGGGAAGGGGGGTAATTTTAAATACCTCTACGTATCACCAAGGAGAAGGGGGATAATACTACGTGTATTTCTTTACCCAAATTTAAAAAAAATCCAAAATTTTCACAAAAAAATCTAAAAACTTAACATTCTTTCTACATCTAAAACTACACGTGATGTTAGTTGAAAAAGAGGGGTGATTTTAAATACTAATACGTATTACCAAAGGGGTTATTCCAAAAATCCTTAAAAATCGATCACGTGATTAATGGTTGCCCTAATAAGTGCTAATATAATGCGCTAAATTGTGTTGTCTTTCAGTTGATTGTTTTGATGTTTTAAAAATAAAATTTGATTATTGTTAATGATTTCCTTATTGTTAAGAACTTTAGCAGAATTATTGTATTATTTTTGTGTTTAGGTGTTATATACTTATTTATCGATGTTAAAAAAAATTCATAAATCAACAACTGTCATATTCTGGCTTAAAGCCGAGTTTATTTTCAGACGCCCTTTAGACACAAATATTTTGTCATATCCGAGCATCATCTCTCGAATCAAGCAACCGAATTCGTTCCTCCAACAAAATCGCGGCAATAAATTCATCCAAATACAATTGTTTGATGCAAAACTGTGACATTGTTGAAGAATCGGTGCAATGTGTGCATTTGTCACATAAGTGTTCTATTTATTTCGAATTTATATATAGATAGTGTTCGAGCAACGGTGCTGGCCTGTGACGCGATCTAACAAGTAGTAATAAAATGAAATGATGTAAACCCGAGAACAAATGTTACTGTGGAACCGTCAAATACAATAAACAAACGCCGTGAAAATACATGTTAATCGCAGTTCAAAATAAACATGCTAGCTTGTAAAGCGTGGGCTGTGATATTAAGTGCACTGTTCCATATAGTGAATGTGAAATGTGAGCCAAAGGAAGTATTAAAAATTGGTAAGCATTTATTTATTGAGTATTGATTGATTATTACTAGCAAAATTATCTATTATTATACTCCACGTGCTCTGTTTTGGATCACATTGACCGGAGTGAAACTGAACTGCTAGAGCATTTCTTGGATTCAACCAGAATAACAAGACATGATTTTTGCTGGCGACAATTCAAAATAACTCAAATGTTATAAATATATTTGAAATGTTCCAATTCCAATTCAAAACATTACTGATAAAATAAATAATTACTATATTCTTCATATCACTTAAGATTAACTTTGTCTCACGTCAGGGCAGATATTCATAACGATTATCACTGGTGAATCAATCAAATCAATTTCAAACTAGCTCACATAGAAATTTTTCTAAATAAATTTAAATGCAAAATATTACCGGGTAAATAAAATAGTTTTATATTTTTTATATCAATCGAAAAACAATTTCTCTCATAACAAATTTTATTCTTTTATTTAATTTTATATGTACACCACGGGTGAATCAATTTAAGCAAAATATTACCGGTCTAATAAAATAGTACTATCATTTAAAATTAACCAAGAATAATTTTATATCGGAACAAATTTTATTCTTATATTTAATTTTATCCCGGCTCCCATTGGTGTAATCGATTTTCACCAGTGAACTCATTTATAATTTATAAAAGAAGAATTGCCTTAATTTTATTTCATATTCGACTAACGGAAAATCTATTTTTACTCTTTTTAAACTCACAAAATTATCTTGTTAAATTGATCTTTTTCCTATTTCAACATCAATTATGAGTACATTCATAAGAGAAAAATTACTAAAATTTTATTTCATATCTGCCTACGAATAAGCTATTTATACAATTTTTTATGCAAAAAATTATCTTACTAAATTGATCTTTTACCGAGAAAAATTGTCTGTAATTTTATTTCATATCCGCCTAACAAATATGCTATTTTCACTGTCTTGTTACTAAATGCAAAATTTCACTGTCTTGTTCTCTTGCTAAATTGATTTTTTCCCTATTTCAACATCAATTATGAGTACATTGATTTTCACCAATTACTTCATTTATAAAAAATCACTGCATATTTGTTTTATATCCGCCTAACAAATAAGCTATTTTTACTGTCTTTTTACTAAATGTAAAAAATTCTCTTGCTAAATTGATCTTTTCCCTATTTCAACAACAATTAAAAGTACATTATTATTATTCAGTTTTTTCTTTTTATTCTGCCAAAAAACCTCTATCTCTCATATCATCAATGCAATTTGCTATCGACAAAATAAATAACTATATTGTTTATAACAATGAAATTAATTTTATCTCAGAGTAAATTTTTATAGCGACGAGTACTGATGGAATAAATTTGAGTGAATTTGACTTTATTTATAATTGAATATTAAATTGATTAATTTAATTAATAATACTTAATTATCTTTAAAAAAAATTTAACTACAAAACATTATTAATAAAATAAATCTTTACTTTAATTTTTTATTTCAATCAAGATCAATTTTACCCCAGAGAAGATATTAATAATGAAGACTCTCACGTGTAGAATCAACTTTTACTCATTTATAATTTGTAACTAAGTCCTAATTTAAACTAGCTGTAAGTGGAATTCTGTCTTAAGGCAATTAGGGCATCGTGCCTTAAGGCAAATGGCTGGAACTTCCCGTACCAAAATTATTATTTTTTTAAAAACGATTAACATTTTTGAAAAAATTTAATTAAAAAGATAGATTTGAGAAACTACAAATTTGACAAAAAATTACTTTTTTTGAAAAAAAAATTATATGAAAAAAAAAATTTTTTTTTGAAAAAAAATTTTTTTTTTGGATACAAAAAATTTTTTTGAAAAAAATGTTTTCTTCATTTTGACATTTTTTGGAAATTTTTGAACTTTTTTTCAAAGCAATCGCACTGCTTGAACTGCATAGAGACGAAATGTCAAAGCGCGTAAGCGCCGCGCCGCCGTCTAACGCAGAAGCATTGGTACGGAACCCATAAAAATGTAAAAAAAAATATACTTATTGTTAAAATCTCTATAAAATATCTGATAATTTGATGTGCATATGTCTAATGATAATTTTTAACCCGCCGATGGCAATTATTTTTTACTTTTTTCATTAGATCTCCGAAACCGCTAGACCTGCCTCCATGAAAATTTGATCAATTCTACATCTTGTCAGTACAAGTAAAATGTTTTTTGAATTATTCAATCGGACGCTCCGTTCTCTTGAAAACGGAGGTACCGTTCTTGGCACTTTTTTGCCCCGTATCTTCGGAACGGCTAGACCTGCCTTTGCCAAAAACTAATCAGCACGTCTCCTTATCAATACGAATCGAATGTTTTTTGAATTATTCAAATCGGTTTGATCCGTGTTCCCGAAATCGTCGACGAAAATTGTATCCGCACATACATACACACACATACATACTACATACATACACACACACACACACACACACACACACATACATCCATTTTTTCTAAGGTATGCAAAATGTTTCAGAAGGTTTTGAAACGTCGAGAAATGCAAAAATTTTCATTTTCGATTTTTTTGCGATTACTATAACTTACCCTACGGGAAGTTAAAAAAAACGAAATTTTGCAATTGTATTTCGTATCTGCCCAACGAATAAGCTGTTTCTGGTGTTTTGTTACTAAATGAAGAAAATTTTTCTGCTGAAAACGACATTTTTTCTTTTTCAATACTCATTGTAAGTCCGTAACACGGTCTTTATTCTGCAATTTCTTGTTATTCTGCCCAAAAACCACCTTCTCTGATGATTAATTAAGTTTTAAACAACGTGATAATCTTAAAGAGTTAATTCAAATAATTTACAAAGGAGACATTGCAAACATTTCCTTGGTTGCATATATACGATTCATTTCTGATCCATTTATGATCATAATAATTTTAAAAACGATACAGAGTTATGATAGAAATATTTGAATTAAAACTGAATTAACAATTAAGTAATGACCTAAAATAATATGTATTGTAATATATTACGTTTTTTTTATGAATCATATACCTACCTAACAAATAATTTATTCTGGATATCCGTTAGGTACCTTATATAAAAAATACATAAATTTCTTTTACTAAATTCACTTCATTAGATTTCAATACCGTTTACATTATTGTTTACATTAATGAATAAATACATATTTTGCTTTGTTTCAATCACTATCTAAAAACTACTTTCTCCAATTAACGATCAATTAACTAATGATATAAATAGGTTTGAATAAACTTCAAAATGTTATGATGTATACATTCAGTGAAATTGGGAGCAATAATAACTTTAATTTGGAGTAGTTGCTTTTAAACTATGAGCAACAATTATTGCTCGTGAGACTTACCACGTATGTGGTCATGAATTGATTTCTAATCTTAATAAACTTATATAAGCACAATTTCTAAATTAAATCGTGTTACTAATCTAACTACAGAATATGCAATTTTATATACCTACATTATTTTGCATTAAGTAATTCAAAAACCTCAAGTAATTTTTCTTAATCGTAATTACTTAAGAATAAATAAATAAAGTAATCAATTACTTGAATACTTGAAATATTAATAACGTTATTTTTAAAAGGTGGAATACTTGAAGAAAATAGTGCAGACTTGGAACATGTATTTCGATTGGCTGCAGCCGATATCAATGCTGACAAAACATTATTACCTAGGCATAAAGTTCGTGCACAGATTGAAAAGTTTCCATATGGAGATGACTTAGCTGCTTCTATGGGTGTTTGTAAGTTAATGAAGGTAACAAATTCTAAAAAGACATTTTCAAAAAAATCTATGTATGTTCAATATTAATCTTTTCACTTTTTGGCATATTCTATAAAAAAAATCACAAAAATTTGTTATATATAACAACCTGTCTACACGAAGAAAAATTAGTTTTTTAAAATGCAATTATACACAAGCATATCATTATACCAAATTATCTAAATTTCAATTTTTTTTTTATTCAGGCGGGGGTAGTTGGCGTCTTCGGGCCAGCAAATCCTATAACCGGCCATACTGTGCAGTCTGTATGTGACCACATGGAAATTCCTAATATCGTATCTCGATGGGAATTCGGTCAGAAAAGAGCATCTTACATGCTAAATTTGCATCCGAAATCGGAGATATTGGCGAAGGCTGTTATGGATATTATAGTCGCTTGGAAATGGAAAAGTTTTACAATTCTATATGAATCGGGGTCGTGGCTGCCGAGGATGGGAGAACTCTTGCAGATGCACCATACTGGAGGTATCATAAAAATATACATTGCTATTAAAAAATAAAAAAGTATATATGTATATATATATATATATATATATATATATATATGTTATATATAAAATACTTCAATACGGATGTATGGAATCAAACTTCTCCTAAACGGTTATTCGAATTTCGATAAATCCTTTTGGAGTTTATTAAAGAAAATTTTTAAGATGTGATGAAATATGAACCTATAGTGGACCAATGGAAAAAATGCAAAAATGGCATTGAAAACATTTTTATTCATGAGAACTGTCACCTGACAGAAATGTCGATTCACTTGAAATTTTAATTTAGGTTCATTTATGAGCCTAAACAATATTCGAAAGACTGAGTTGGTCTTCACTGTGCAATTGAAATTTAAGTGTAGAAATTATTATCATTTTATTTAGTGCAGTTCTGCATTTATCATCACTCACTTTAATGTATATTCATTTGTTATATACTGGTAAAATTGGTATTTGATATATAGACTGTGGTGGTATGCATTGTGGTGTAAAAAACATGATTATACATATTTATTTTTATAATAATCATATAAAAGCAAGATTTTGAAAAGTTAACAAGTCAGGTCATATTAAGTTAGATGCTCTAATACTACGAGAGTGTGGTCGAGCAGAACTCCAATAATAATAATTATTATTATCTAGTTGACTTATATAATATTTGTTATTCATAATAGTAGGATTATATTTTAGTTAACTTAGTTATTCTGTAATTCAAAACTTCTTGGCTTGCCAGTATAAAAAATATCACAATTTGACGCCTCCAAAATCTTTTTTTTTTCAACTATTATCAAATTTATTCAATTCAAATGGGTGCTTAGGATTAGCAAAATGTCACTAAAGTATTTTAGTAATATTCCATAATTCTTCATTACTGACCTTACTACAAGTTTTATAAATAGTAATTTGTTTCAAATATTGGGTCGACCAAGTTAACAAAAATATATTTGCAGGATTCACTGTAACAAGTAAAGAGTTAGATCTTGGCATTCAAGACAATTTCCGTCCAATATTAACTGTTGTAAAGAAGTCTGGTGAAAAGAACATTGTGCTAGATTGTTCAATAGAGAAGCTTCCAGAAGTTCTGAAACAAGCTCAACAGGTAACAGTAATTTAAAGTTTAATTCCTTGGATAACTTTATTGCAAACCATAGTAAAAGATTACTTATTACTGGAATAAAATAGTTTCTAATTTATCATAATTTGCATTGTTGTTTTAGATATATATTAATACTATAATGTTATTCTTTAAAAAGTGTCACAACTAATAATAATAAATCATCTAGTAACATTTTTAATTTGTTACCAACAGGCAATAAAAATACTTACCTTGCTGGATTGTTTATTGTTTGCAAAATTTTATCTTAGAGCGATTTATTAATAACTATCATGATATTTTTTAAATAACAATTATAAACCAACTTGTTTTCTATTACTGCATAATGTATCAACCATTTACCATTTGTAATTGACTCATGTACAAAATATCATGTGGTGTCTAGTAAATATCATATAAATTTTGCATATAAATAAAATTCATGCAATGAAATATTTCGTATCAATATTTGAATCTACCTAACATTTTGTTTTATTTTACTAGGTAGGATTGATGTCGGATCAACATCAATACATAATTACCTCTTTGGATTTTCATACCATAGATTTGGAGCCATTTCAACACGGCGGAACAAATATAACAGGATTAAGAATTGTTGATCCTGAAGAACCATTTATGAAAAATACTAAAGAAATGTGGGAATCGCACGAGAAAAAGAAAGGTAATACATTGCGCACATAGAATATTAATTTTTAAATGTATGTTATGAAATTCATTAAAACTCTCCTTGGATAACTCAGGTTGTTGGGTTATAATTTATCCCTTGTAGCTGTGGACTGCATTAAACACTGATTTGTTTTGTATTTGTATGTATTTGTTACTGTTCTTATTACAATCACTGATTTGTTACTAAGTTATAATGAAAAAAGATATATTTATTCGATATTTATTACACATATTGTTTCGCGGACTTTGCATTTAGAAGTGAACAATTAGTCCTATCAAACTCCCCGCTATCCCTTCTACTAGAGGTAGCAACCATCCTGCGTAAAAGGTCAATGCCATGAAGATTGTCACCTTCATGGCCAATATAATAAAACGAAAATACGTCTGAACAATGTATCTGTAATAATAATAATAAAAAATTAGTTAATAATAATGTGAAAAATTATCGTTTAAAACAAAGTGCAGCAAGCACAAAGAAGTTATTTTTTGAGCATATTCATTCATGCTGAATAATTAATAAATTTATAGTGTTCAAAAATTCATTATAAAGTTCAAAAGCCCAAAAAGATGTTTGTTATTACTGTTCGTTCATATATTTATGCAAATCGTTACTTTCTCTGTATATTTATTTTATATATATATATATATATATATATCGGTACGTTTTTTATACCGGAAAAAGTAAATTACAGAACTGTCTTACTTATTGTCATTATTTGCTGTTCTACGAGAAAGTTTTATTGATATTATGGGAATCAATATCATTCTTTGGCGATGTTCCAAAATTTGTCCACCAAAAGTAATCGTTTTTGTGCGGAAGTATACTACATATCGTTATACTTTATATTGATAAAACAACTACAGTATATTTTGTACGTGATTTATAATTGTAAATCACTTCTCATGAATCGAACTTGGCCAATATTTTATTCAATATATTAAATAAGACACAGCAACATAAATTTATTTATTACAATAATCTACATTTCATGCACATTACATTGTTGCAGTTCATTAGTCCACTTTTTTATTACTTCTGTTTTTTATTGAGATAATATTGATTGCTTATCTGAAGGACCATCAGATGGGTTTTTGACTCTATCGACCGTTCTAGTTTTATTGGCTTTAAATTACAGAGCTTGGTACTTATAATATAACTGAATAATGATAAAAAAAAATTAATTTGAACTTGTTGAGCACACACCACACTTTATTGATTTTTTTATAAGAATAATAAAATAAAATTGTTGCCAAAATAATGCCAAGAAAAAAAAAACAACGAATAAAAGAACATGCAATGCTGTAAGCAGTAACATTTATAGCACATTTTATAATATAAAATTATAATATAAAATTTATATTGTTACAAAGAGCAATAGGTCGAAAAGAGTATTTACAAAAATTATAATTCAAATTTTGTAAAATAACAATGACATAAAGTGGTATACTCCCTATAATGTATATACACCTTGTCATAATATATATGTTGTTATCAATTGAAAGAGGAAATAATGACAAAATAGAATATATTTTCAGAAAGACGCAGTAGCCTTATTTAAAAATTGGCTAGTTTTAATAACGTTTTTGCGACTATATAATTTAAAAAAGCCATAATGACAGTCCTGTCAGATGTTGAACGTCATTGTCAGAGTCTTGTCGTTGTGTTTCGCGCATTGGAAGGTATATTTTGAGGGCGTTTTTTTCATATTTTTCTAGAAATCTGATTATTTATGTTTGTAATTATTTTGATTAAAATTAAAGAACTTATGCAAGTAATTTAAATCAACTTTATTGCCATAATCAGGTGCTTTATGGAATTTTGATTAAATATTCATTTTTGTTCACTTGGTACAAAATGACATACCTATACAATGAAAAAAATAACATAATACTATTTTGCAAGAACTATAGTAATGAGTATAGTTTTATATTATATATAAAAAAAAATTACAATCTCCTTGCGGTGATTGGCTTTTAACTTCTATCTCAAACAAGCAATGAAAAATTGATTAATTTTTATTCAAACAATTTATTTTTAAACTGCTTACTTAAAAAATAGCAATTCAGTATGTCCTTAAAAATTGGCAATTCAGTATGTCCTTAACTTATGTGTCATTTTGTCCGTACTATATGGACAAAATGTTTTTCGTAATAACTCCTTAATCAATACCTACAAGACAAATACTATCTTACTTACCAAAGATGAATAAAACTGATTGTGACTAATTATAATCTTAGTAAATAAAGAGATATAATTAAAAACCAAAATACCATGTCATTTTGTCCGAATTACCCCTATAATTTAAAACTATAAACAAAACAATAATACCTATTTAGATCTTGTGGATAATTGTCTTTATTTATATATATTGCTTATTCATCAATAAACTTCGATAATTTTCTAAAAAAAATAACAATGCATTGCACTGCTAATTTGTTCACTGGCATCATTGGGTACACGAAAATAATTATAATATTCAATAATAATTATAATATTTAATTACAATATTCCACTATATGCATATATAATGTAGCTTCTTTCATATAATTGTTTTTAATGAATATCTTTTTATGTAAATTTACCAGGAAATGAGCTGCCCGAAGAATTAGATCCATCGCGAATATCATCGAGCGCTGCCCTATTGTATGACTCTGTGCGTCTGTACGCCGCTGCGCTTAACGACCTCGACAGCTCTAACCAAGTTTCCGCCAAAGTTATGGATTGTGATAGTGCCTCCGATAGCTGGGAACATGGATATAGTATTTTAAACTACATGAGAACGGTAATAATTATATTTGAATGTCATTTTTAGTTTTACACATTTACAATGTAGATGATAGCAGTTTCAATTAGCAATAGTGATTTGGTTGAGATCTATATGTCACTGAATATTGGTATATATACTGCCTCCTTATATCTTATCAGATGTCTGTACTATACTGTCTCCTGATATCTGACGATATCGTTAGTTATAAACTCAAAATGTACGCGGTCATGCATTATTGTCAAATGTATTCATTCGCAGCATATTCAATTTGCAAATTGCATGCAAGGTTTATTAAATTAATTATGAACTTATGACAAAAAACATTACTTTAAATTTTATTTCGATAATATAATTTTGATGTTGATTTTTAATAACCTGATGAATCTATAAAACTTATCAAAGCGAGTTCTCATCGACATTTTGGGAATAATTTTGGAATTTTCAAAATCCTACATTTTTAGCACTACATCAGACACATGATATATAAATATATTATACAAACCAATTCGATCGTCTTGTGAAACTTATCAACTCGAGTCTTAATTGAGTTTAATTAAATGGTATTTAAAATTTTGTGATCTATGAACCATCATTAGAAAAAAGGTGTCGAAAAACTTGGCTCACAGACATACACCAAAATAGATGTTTTTCCCAACGTTAGTGGCAAACGACACAAAATAAACAGTTTAATGCATTTTATTCTAAAATTTTTTGATTAGAAACTACTAAAACCAATACTAGTAGTAAAATTATAGCAGTTCAGCAATTAATATCTAATAGTAATATTTTCTCACCTGAACTGAATCTTTGAACCGATTCTAATTGAAGGACCTTTGAATAATTTGCACAATCGAATTTAGTATATTTTCAAAATTCTGCAATTTGTGAGCGTCCCTCAACAAATATTGCATATATATGGCAGATATAAAATTCATGTCAGAAAAGATATTCTTAGTTGTTTTTAACATAATTTTGCTAAAGATTAGTAATAATTTATGCTTCGATGTAATTCAATATTTTGAGCTTGCGTCTTTCTAAATCACTTTATGAATTTCAAATAAAATTTTACCAATTTATTTGAGCGGGAACTAAATTAATCGAGTTTTTTTTAAAGTATATTATTGATGTTACGTTAAATTATTATTATTCACGTGTTTGTCAAAAATATTGAACCAATTTTTAAAATTCATAAAATTTTCATAGTATTTCATCTGGGAATCGTGCTGATTAGTTTTTATTAAAGATTGTCTGCGCCTTTTTCGTAGTAAATAATAGTTTTTTTCTGAATTTCAATGAAACTTTGAAACTCTATCTCTAGTTTATAGTCCTTAACAACAAAATCCGTAAAATATTATAGTTCTACAAAGAGGGATGTTGCATGATCGCTTTTCTAGGGATTTTAGGACCTCCTTCTCATTTGCAGATTTGTTGTAATATTTAAAATTACCTCGCCCGCCAACAAGTCAGTTTCACAACATCAAGTGCAGTTTTAGTTACGTAAAATTTTTTGAACAAACTTTTCGTATTTTCGGAAAAATCTATTTTTTTTTGTTTTTTTTTGAAAATTTAGGTAAAACACACGTGATATTTCACTAGGCCTCTCCACCCCCCACGTAAATTTTCGTAATTTTTTTGTCAAATCTCTCCTTTTCCAAAAATATCCCGTGACGCTCCCAAGGTGGTTTAATTTAAAAAAAAATCTAACATATTTTAGAATTTTTAATTTGGAATACATAATTGACCACGCTTTTAAGACATACATGCGCGCGTTTGCTTACTGTTATCAATACAGATATAAATTTAAAAGATATTATAAACAGATATTGAAGGATATTATTTGGAAATTCCATTGATTTGTTTGATGTATAATAGCAAACTTTATAATAGGAATAAACAGTTGAAAATGTTATCCAAATAGTAACATTAATATTTTAATTCCTATTGATAAGGCCGATTATCTACTAATATCAGAAAGCTTATACAACTTGTTAACAAGTTAAATTTTGTAATCATCAGTCGATGATTCGTATTGATACTAATAGTAAGTTATTCAATTTCAGACCACTTTAGAAGGCTTGAGTAGAACAATTAAATTCGACAATGAGGGCTTTCGAACGGACTTCGAGCTGGACATCATAGAATTAACTTCATCTGGCATTATTAAGGTCGGGGAATGGAATTCGACCGAGGGCCTGAACATCACTCGAGTTTACGAGCCCCCTCAAGCCGCCGTCGGCAGCGCCTCAATGCAGAATATGTCGTTTATCGTTCTGACCGACGCAATCGTGAGTACCGATTTAACTTTCATACAACGATAAATATAAGACTATTCCTGTTTAATACTACCCTGTATGAGGATTTTAGAAGTCCCAAGAGAGG